CTTTTTTAATCGGTTTCCATTCCCGGAGTGCTCGTTACACGTGAAGACGTAAGCCAAAATATTATTCCGCTAATCTCACACACGCGTTAAAATAGACCCGGTAAACACAAATGCTAAATATAACACGCGTCCAAAAGCTTGTCACGCAAAACCGGTAAGAACCGGCAGAAAAGTGCGAGGAAAAAAGAAGAAAACACGATCATTTGCGATTTCTACGAATCGAAAAGGCGGATTCGCGTAAAATTCGTGGATAGCGTAAAAATACGGATACCGAGACACGTGCGCGCACGGTGTAAAATCAAAGGAGGTATTATTTCGAGACGAAACAACAACGACCGGCGATAAAATTGTATCGAGTTAACAAAAGCATTTGAAACGTCGATTGTTTTTCGTCGAAATGAATCAACGCCTGAAAAAGTAGCGTGGAATCGCATAGAATGACGCTCGAATCGGCCCATAAATATTTCCAACGATACACCCTCGCGAATCGCTACTCTCCTTCGCGTTTCACCCATGCGAGCTTCGATCTTGAACAGAATCGAGACGAAACGAGCGATAACGAAACGGTTTGACGCGCGTTGCTGCAGCGAAATCCTTGCTATTGATCTAGGCAGCTCAAAAGGTCCTGGGTTCACCCGGCCAACCTCCGGCGTTCTCCCCTCGCTTCTCCACCCTGTATTTCGTCCTTCGCCTACACGAACCACGGGAACCAACTTTTCCCAGATTTTTCGGTGACTTCTCGATAAAATAGTTCATCGTTCTGGCCGGGCTCGAAAAACCATCCGTTTACATTTCACCGTCCGTTTCTCGCGACGTGCGATGGAAAATCGTTGCGACGGAAAATCGTTGCGACAGAAAATCGTTGCGATAGAAAATCGTGGTGAGAATATCGTGAAATTCGCGGAATTCTCTCGTCGATATTGGCGTTTGAACGAACAAGGGCAAGGGCGATTCTTGAATCACCGGGACAAGGGTGCGATGCCCTCCCTGATGAAAACCCAACTAAGTGCTAAACACGTTTCACGCTTGATCAACCGTACGAGCGACACCATGATGGTTCGAAGTTGCGTGTGTCGATGACGTAAATGAATGGAAAGACTTTTCATCGTGCGTTACGATTACACGCTAGGAGAAAGCGAAGAGAGGGAGAGGGAGAGGGAGAGAGAGAGAGAGAGAGCCTGCCGGAGATCGATCGATCATTACGCGTACGCGTGACGACGATACGCGATGTTCGAGTAGTATTCGTGGATAGAATTTAGCGAGTTACGGAATGACGATGCATAGCGAGGTTGGTATACGTGAACGATATCTGTTGGTTTGATTTCAGATGAAACTTCACGAGAAGAAGGAGTCCGGAATACACAGAGTGCAGGAGGTTCCCTTGAAGGAGTTGGACCTGTCGAAAGAGTACGAAGTGGAAAAGACACTCGGGGAGGGTAGTTTCGCGAAAGTTTTATTAGCGACTCATCGAGCGACGCAGACGAGGGTCGTCTTGAAAGCCGTCCACCAAGAGCTGACCACGGAGAAGGACTTTTTCCGCGAGTTTCATTACTCGTACCGTTTAAGCCCGCACCCGAATATCTTGTGCTCGTACGCGGTCGCGTTCAAAGCCGAGAAGTGTTTCGTTTTCGCGCAAGAATACGCCCCGTATGGAGATCTCGCGGGCAACGTGAGAGCCGGTGGCTTGACAGAAGAAGCGTGCAAGAGGATCGCGAGTCAGCTCTGCTCCGCTCTCGATTTCATTCACTCGAAACAGCTGGCGCATCGAGACATAAAGCTGGAAAATGTACTGGTGTTCTCGTTGGACATGTCGAAGATCAAACTGTGCGATTTCGGCTGCACCAGGCGCGAAGGGACTCTGGTTAACAAAATCCGGTGCACTTGGCTACCCTTTCAACCGCCAGAAATCTACGAAATCGTGAAGAACGAGAGGTACGCGTGCAAGAGGAGCGCCGATTGCTGGCAATTCGGCATCGTGCTGTTCGTCTGCCTGACGGGAAATCCACCGTGGCAGACCGCCGATCTTATCCAAGACCCCGAATACTCGGCCTTCCAAAGGTGGTTGAAAAGGAGAACTACCAAAGTTCCACCAACGTTCAGACGATTTACGCCCAGGTTACTGCGATACTTTAGGCGGACGTTCGAGCACAAACCCGAGAAGAGGCCGCACGTAACCGAGATCAATAAATATTTGAAGGATTCCTGGTGCGTGAACAAAATCAGCCACAGTGCTACGTCCACGTTGGTAGACGCTAGCGAGGGTATAGCGAGGAGAGGCGACAGTTTGCTTTACCTCGACACGATTCTGGACGATCAACGGAACGTGGACGAGAACAAGAACAAGCTGAGAAAGCTTCTCAACAGTTACGGCCTCGAGACAACGATCGATCAGAAAGTCGTCACTAAGAGGATCTGGGAATGGGTGATGCAGTGCGATTCGAACATCGCCGAACCGGCTTTCGTTGGTAGCCTCGGGACAGAAAGCATGTGAGAGATGGTCAAAGCTTCTAGCGAACCTTGCCTTAGAAGCGATCGACAGGAACGGAAGTACAGTTTCGGTGGCTTCGATGCTGCTCGTGTCGGAGACGGTGACGGGGACGAAGACGGAGATGACGACGCGCCGTCATCGCTGCAGTGTGCCAAAGCAACGTCCGAAAGGACCACGACGAACTCGCCTTCGATCTTCCACTAGAGAACGGTGCATCCTCGCTTCTGCACCGTCGCGTCGGATTTCCAACGATCACCGATATGGACGCGGAAACGTGTGATAATCCCTCTATCATCTTTCACCTCTCGTTCTATCTCTTCCGCACTTCCCTTCTCTCTTCGTCCCATCTCTTCCAACTCATCCACGTGCGCTCTTCTACTCCTCCTCTTCCTCTTCCTCCTCCTCTTCCTTTCCTCACCTCGCACCAATCCTCGCTACATCAATCTTCTCTACGAGCGGACCAATTATCGACGAATGTATGTGCGTATATACACAAACAAGTATATATTATCACGTACGAGCATCTTTCGTACGCTTCCTCTTGCGTGGAACAGCTTCGAGACGAGAATTGCCTACAGACTGTACGAAATAGCCGAGTGCGATGAACGCTAGCTACAGGCGATTCTCTCCTTTTCCAGTAAAGAATACGAAACGAATGTGATAAAAAAGAAAAAAAAAAAAAAAAAAAAAAAAAAACCCTAAAAAAAATAACTGCGATCGGTGTTTTCGGTGTCGACTATAGAGACAATAATGACTGCGGATTTCCTAGTAATTTATTACGTTATGACAATTACATAGTTTAACGAACGGTAACCGGTAGAGGTCACTGTACGAGGCCTTGCGTGAAATCGAAAAATTTGTTCCATCGTGTAAACCGTAGAAACAATGTGCGAGAAGAAATCAACGCGGACGTATGTAACTTGCGAAACATTCGAAACGAAGATGGAACGAATTTAGAAGAACTCGAACAGAAATTAAGCGGTACTTAGTGTCGTTAAGCGATATAGCGTATGCATACACATAGCGCGTATATATTCTTCTAGCAATTTATCGGTAGAAGGAGCGAATGTAGAAAAATGATCGTTGGTACACAATTTGGTAGAGCTATCTTACCACAAAACAGCAGACTATACATACGTGACACGGTTCTTTCC